TTGCCTTAGATGAAATCTCCTTTCTTCCAGCCTAAATGTGTGACCTCGTGTCCTATGTAGAGCCCTGTTTATGAATAGATTTTTATGAATAGATTTTTTGACATTTTGATGTAAAGATAATAGGATTCCACTTGATTTTCACAAAAGCCAGCATGGAATGCATAGTGTGTAGCTTATGTTGCTTTGTACAAGGTCATTCTTAGTCCTTTGAAATGCCAAGATGCATGAGTGTAGGTCAGTGGCGTACACATGACCCATGGGGCCTTGGTGCGAAAATTGATCTGTGGGCCCCCCTCTCCCCCCACGCTTACTCTGTGCGGGCCGGGGCCGCAACACATGGCGGCGGGCACCTGGTCGCAGGGGTTGCATGGCTGCAACCCCTGTGACCGCGGTATGTATGCCAGTGCCACCCACACTTAAAGGACCACTACAGACACCCAGATCACATCAACTCAATGAAGTGGTCTGGTTGTCAGGTCCCTCTAGTTTAAACCCTGCAGCTGAAAACATAGCAGTTTCTGAGAAACTGCTATGTTTCACTGAGGGTTAATCCAGCTTCCGCGATTCCTAAGACACTGAATGTCCATAGGAAAGCATTGAGTAATGCTTTCCTATGGGCAGTTTGAAAGCGCGAGCGGCTCTTGCCACGCATGCACATTCGGAGCTGAGAGGCGGAGGGATCCCCAGCACCAAGGGAGTCCGGCGCTGGAGAAAGGTAAGTGCTGAAGACACACACACTCTCACGAACAGACACATACACATTAGCTAACAGACACACACATTTACTGACAGAGACACACTCAGCGACAGACATACACACACATACACACTCACATAACATACACTCACTAACAGACATCAAACAGACTCACTAACACACACACAAACACACTCAGTAACACACACGCAGTAACACACTCACTGACACTCACTAGCAGACACACACTCAACAGACACACTCACTGACACTCACTAGCAGACACACACACTCTCACACTCACACTCACACTAACACTCACACTAACACTCACACACAAATACACACACACAAACACACACACTAACACTCACACACAAACACACACTAACACTCACACACAAACACACACACACTAACACTCACACACACACAGTAACATACACTAACACTCACACACAAACACACACACACACACTAACACACACACACACAAACACATACACACACTAACACTCAAACACACACTAACATACACTCACACTAACACACACATGTTTTTTTTTTTAAATGTAATCCCCCAGCCTCCTTACCTTTTGGAGTGCTGGGGGGATTCCCTGGGGTCCAGTGGTGCTGCTGGGCTCCTGGGCGGCCAGTCACCTGGGGGACGGGCGAGCAGGATGGGGGGCCTGCGAGGGAGCTGAAGAGGAAGCACTCAGGGGAGAGTGCTCCCTCGCTCGCCCGCAGGACCGGCCTTGGGGTGACTGCAGGGCCAGCCTTGGGGGGCCCTGAGCTGGCCGGCTCCTGGGCCCCCCAGGGGAAGAGGCTGGCCCTGTGGGTACATACCGGGTCGCAGGGGCGGCCGGGCCCCCTAGTGGGCCAGGCCCGGTCGCAGCTGCGACCTCTGCAACCCTGGTATGTACGCCACTGGTGTAGGTCATATTTTAAGGATCTCTGCTTACACCACACTATGCAGCAGTGTAAATTTTATTCACTTAACAGTTCTTATACACCATATGGATAAAAGTATTGGGGCTTCTGACCATTACATCAACAAGGACTTTTAAGAGATCACATTCTAAATACATAGATAGTAATATGCAGTTGGTCCCCCCTTTGCAGCTATAACAGCTTCCATTTTTCTGGGAAGGCTTTCCATGAGATTTTGGAGTGTTTCTGTGGAAATCCTTGCCCATTAATCCACTAGAGCATTTGTGAGGTCCGGTACTGATATTGGACAAGAAGGCTTGGCTTGCAATCTGTGTTTAATTTCATCCAAAAGGTGTTCGATAGGGTTGAGGTCAGGGCTCTGGGCAGGTCAGTCAAGTTGTTCCACACCAAACTCATCCAAACATGTCTTTATGGATCTTGCTTTTTTGATGGGGCACAGTCATGTTGCAATAGAAAAGAGCCTTCTCCAAACTGTTCCCACAAAGTTGGAAGCATAGCATTGTTCAGAATGTTTTTACATGCTGAATCATTAAATTTCCCTTCACTGAAAATAACGGGCCTAATTCAATCCCTGAAATCCTGCCCCGTACCATTATCCCTCATCCACCAAACTTGACAGTTGGCAAAATGCAGTCAGGTAGGTAACATTCTCCTGGCATCCAACAAACCCAGACTCGCCCACTAGACTTCCAAACAGAGAAGCGTGATTTGTCACAGAACATGTTTCCACTGCTCCAGAGTCCAGTAGTGTTGTGCTTTACACCACTCAATTACACTTGGCATTGTACTTGGTGATGTAAGGCTTGCATGTAGCTGCTCAGCCATGGAAACCCATTCCCTGAAGCTCCCACTGCACATTTTTTTGTGCTGGTATTAATGCAAGTGGAAGTTTGGAACTCTTAGCTATGGAATCAGAGCCTTATCGATTTAACGCACCATGTGGTTCAGCACTTGGTGACCCTGTTCCTTCATTTTACGGGGTCTTCTACTTTGTATTAGAACATAAAAAACAAAGAGAAAGGACGCGCCTTTAATACAGTTGGTATCTAAAAGAATATACACAATAATATATAATAAAAGACAAGTAAAAATTTAAATATTAAAAGCCCAAAATAATAATCCACAGCCAATAGAGTAGATTCTTGTAGATCAGTGGTGGTTTATATTTTCCAATGGAGACTTGTATTTTCATATGGACTATTGAAAATACTACTTTGTGGTTAAGTTTCTGCTGTTCCTAAACACTTGCACTTTCTAATAATACCACTTACAGTTGATCGTGGAATATCTAGCAGGGATGAAATTTCACAAACTGACTTATTGCAAAGTTGGCATCCTATTAAGGTACCACGCTTGAATTCAATGAGCTCTTCAGAACCAACCATTTATTTTCATAAATGTTTGTAAATGCAGGTTGCATGGCTAGGTGTTTGGTTCTGGTTAAAACACCTGAATTCAATCATTAAGAGGTGTGTCCCTATACCTTTTTCCATATATCTCTTATCCATCTCCTTCATGTGCCTCCTTCCAGAATGTCAGTTTAACTGCCTTGTCTTATGAAGGCAATGATTTTTGGCTATAACTGGTCATTGTTGTTGTTGTAGCTTCCAATCCTGAGTATAACCTAACTTTTAGTCTTTTGAGGGTGGTTATACTCTGTACAGTCATAGTGGTGATAACCTGAGACTGAAAACGTTGTGAGTATGTAAATATTATAGATGTATGTCAGGATTTCCTGTTTGCTTCCAGACAAGGAATTTTTTAAAACATATTTAATTCTGTTTTTATTTTTTATAGGGCCAGCTTTATGAGTACATGAACCTGTGTGAATGCACATTGCAAACTCAGAGAGGGGGACGCCACAAATACACCGTCCCAGAAAGT